GTGGTGACAAAGGTGGTTGTGATATAAGTGACAGAGGTGATAGTGGTGGTGTCGGCTGGTATCAGAGGTGGTGGTAATGGTGGTGGCAGTGGCGGACAGGGACGGACGCATGAATACATGGTAGGTGTTGCCGAAATGAATAGATGTTGTCGATACATGAAAAATAGGTAGAAAATTTGAAAAATCGAAAAAAATTTCACTACGGCCAGAAAATTTAGGAGTTGCCGATGCCGCACCGAGAACCCCTTAGAACCGTCCTTGCTGGCGGAGGAGAAAAGAACGGGTGACGCTATATAATTATTTATGATTATAACAGACCAACGATGAGGAAAGAAAATCATTCTCACAGAATTAGCTTAATTAGCTTAAACTGAAAACTAATTCATCAATTAATCAACAATTGGTCCATCTTTTGCTGCACTTAGAAGCTTGATTAGTGATATTTTAATTAAAGCAATACAACATACAATCGAATTAGTAGAATAATAGTGTATCTTTCATCATCTGTAGCAATTGAAGTTTGATTAGAATATACAGAATATTCAACACGGAACATAAAACATAAGTAAAAGTAGTTAGAATAACTAGTATACAACATACATTAGAATAAGTAGAATAATTTGAAGTGAACATTTTATCAAACCACCATCCATAGTATAAATAAACGTAAACCATAATGCTTAAAATATTTAAGGTATACATAACTTACAATATCTAGAATAAATCAAAAGAAATCATTATCACATAAGAATATGTAGAATGTTTAAGGAAGTATGATGCAATGTTGACATTATGCCAAGTTACACTTTCACATTACACATAGCAAATTAACATGTCAAGATCAACATCAGATTCAACAACAAGGTAAACATCATGTGCAATTTCAGATAGCAATTAGATTCAAGGTGCAAAATCAGAAATCAATTTCAAAACCAATCAATCGATACATACTCAATCAGAATCATAAATCAATTTTTACTCAAAGTGAATAAGTCTTGATTCTTCAAAGATGAAACTTCCAACGAATCAGAAATTAAGGTAGAAGAAATCAATTAAGTTGAATAAGAAATAGAGGAAATATAACTAACCTTTTGGCGTCTTGAGAAATAGAATTCGTTTGAATTCGTTGCTACTAGTGCTGGTATTTTGATTATCATTCACTCCCTTAGTCTTGTAACATTTGTTGGTTGTAGCAGGGTTATGGTCGACATGTTCATCAAAACTCAACTGATGCGGCCGAAGGTCAATAGAAGGGGGAGGATACGATTTTGTGGTTGCCGATGGAAGAGGCAATAGGGAGGAGGCATAACTAGAATACGTATGATATGAGAAGCCAGAGTTTAATAGTTGGTCAAAGAGATTTTTATGGTAATTGCCATGAATTAAGGGATTTTATTTTAATTATCATGCTAAAGTTACATAATTACCTTTATTATAATTATTAATTATTTAATTATTCCTAAATTCCTATTGGTGCATTCATGCACACAATAGTTACTAGAAACATTTCAACATCTCTCTCTCTCTCTCTCTCTCTCTATATATATATATATATATATATATATATATATATATATATATATATATATATATATATATATATATATATATATATATAGGTTTACTTAATTTAAACTTATATTGACAACCAATATACCATTTTTTCACTGTATTAAATATCGACAACTATTGTATTTATTCAAGTAAAGTTATAGAGTATAATTTATGGAATGTTAAATGTTATATGAATTTAATTTTTATATATCATCAATGAAAATTATTTTCTAAATCATGATTGGTATATTTTAAATTGATTATGAATATAAGTGTTAGTTTTTATGTTTGTTCTTATTTATTTGGTGTTCGCAAGAACTTTGCATTAGACTTAACGTAACTTTGAATAATTTTGGTATATCATCGATGTAATTTGGTATGTATCTTTCAATTATATGAAATATCAAATAACGACATTTCATTACTGTTGTATATTGCACTTTTACTAATGTTAACGGTCCTATTTTTTTTAAATAATCGGAACGCTTTTACTAATTGTACCTTTTTACAAATCCCTTAATATCTTATAATTTTTTTCTTACTTTATGGTTTTTCAAAACTATGCTATTTTCAAGATTGATCGTCTTAAATACGAAACTTTGTTCACTGATTTCAACCAAAAAGGGTTTCCCATGACCGAGATATGACATTTCAAAAATAGGGATAGATTAGGGAAAAATACTAAAGTAAGTGCTTTGGCTTTTTAAATAAAAAAAACCACACACACATTGCTATTAACTAAATATGTTAAAACACAATAGAAATTACAATGCATTTTGTATCTAGTGAACACAGTTACAACAATTCATAAGAAATTTAGAAATTGCAATTCAAAACATTATAGATTAAAGTCAAAGTACATTAATATTAACTAAAAATGTTAAAAACCAAGAATTATGGAAAAATATATCAAATTAATAGCATTATAATATTGATAACTAAAAACACTAAAGGGTAAATGGTACTTTTCAATCATCAACTATCGTACAATCCAAACAATCTCAAGAAAATTTAATTACGTAAGACACACATACATACACACATTTAATCAAAAGTCATTGTGATTTTCTCATGATCGTTTTGATAAAACATGTAAGTGCAACATCAAGTTCAAGGTTAAAAAGACAAAAATAAAAAACTGGAAAACTAATATTAACATTTATAATCAAAAATTATTCATCCATTTAAAGATCACAGTCAAATACAACACTAATGAGAATTAAAAAATCGAATACAATTAATAAAAATCAAGAACATCAAATTAAAGAAGGAGGATGACAAACGTGATGCTACAAAGGGTGATGATGTTCAAACGTTATGCTGCAAAGAGTCTGAAGAAAACATAATCTACGAACAACAGCACATGATTTATACATAACTTTCAACAATGATTGTGAAAAGAATATCAAATTTCGAATTCTTTGATTCTTTGAAATTGAACGACGATATCCCGTAATCTTGTAGATACGTTTCATATAAATTGAAAGAATATACGAAACATGTCAGGTAAGAACGTGATTTTAATTAGGAATGAACGAAATTACTTTAAAAAATTATGATGAAGTTTAAATAAGTTAAATACATTAGTTTTATAAATGATGTTAATATCAAATTAGTTAGTCAAACTTTTAAATTTAATTGAGATTAATTTAATTTAATTTATTTTAAGATAACATTATCAAAATAATCTATCCTAATAAACTAAAGTCATTTTGGCCAAATGTCATATTATTATTGGATTTAACACATGTCATGTTCTAATATTTTTTTATTTATTGTTTTTCTACTTGTTATTTTGTGGGTTTTTTTTTCCATTTTATTAAATTCTATATAATATTTAAAAATATAATAATTATAATAAATGTAATAATATATGCATATCAATTTAATTAATGTAACTTTCTTTTTAATTTTTAAGTTTTAACTTTAATCCATTTATTTAAATTATTTATTTAAATTTAAAAAAGGAATAAAAAAGTTCCAAATAGCAAATTAAACATTAGATTTTAATAATTCAATATTTTTCTTTTATTCTTTGAAAATTCAAATTTCCTAAGTTCATAAATCTTCATATTTTTTTAACAAACCTGTGGAATATACACAACTTGGTCTTTTAATATAGGGGGTGTTTGGAATTGCTGATTTTTTATTTTTAACTTTTTCAAAAAGTTAAAAAGATGTTTGGGTAATAGAAAAGTTTTTTTTTAACATGATTTTTTGTATAGAGTAAAATGAAAGTTTCAAAAAATCACAAAAACCTAATTTTTTGTGATTTTACATTAGGGATAATGACTTCAGAGGGTAACATACTTTTGATTTTGATCACATTTGGTCACTGAACTTTTTTTCGTGCTCTATTAACCCTTTAACTTGTTGATTTGTGCAAATTTTCCCCTTCCGACTGGTTTTTGCCGGTTTCAATGAATTTATTGATCCTACGTGTCAGTTTTGATCCTAACTGGCATCTAGGGTTCTTGTTATTAAAGGAGGGGCGTTTGTTGTTCATTTATTGTGCTCTAATACCCCGTTGCCCTAATACCCGATGGCTTCCTCCTACAGCATCTCATCCTCCCTCAATCGATCAAGCAAGAAATCCACAGTGAATGATCCAAAAACTTGTGATTGTGGGTTCCCTGCACGTATTCTAACATCAACAACACCAAAGAATCCAGGGAGGCATTTCATGGTGTGCAATGAGGTAAGCAATTTCACTTAAATTTCCCCTCTTTTCTGATTCATTTATTCCAGATTTGAAATCTCACTTTGAAATTTTATTGTGGAAGGGTAAATGCAAATATTGGAAATGGTTGGATGTAGAACTTGTACAGATGCCTCTGATGGAAGTGGTGGAGGGAATGAAAGCTGAATTAGTAGCATTGAAGACCGAAGTAGAGAAGGTGAAGGAAGACATGGAACAGATGAAGAAGGAAAAGTACTCTGATGCCATTGCAATGAAGGAGAAAATATATAAGTTTACCATTGGATTTCTTTTTCTGATCATCGTGTATATGATGAAATGAAGTCACATGATGTATTGAAAGATGTTGTTTGAATAGAATAGAGTTGTTATCTTAACTTCTTGTTGGAATGGAATGAAGTAACATTGATTGTAATGGAAAATTTAATTATAAAGAAGCATACATATTAACTGCATACATATTAACTTTGATTGGAATGGAATCACAAAGAATGGAATGAAGTAACTTTGACTGGAATGGAATCACCAAGAAATATTTTTGACTGGAATGGAATCATAAGGAAGCATACATATAACAATGAATACATATTTGATTTTGACTGGAATAGAATCACAAAGTAGCATGCATATAAAGAATTAGTTTTGACTGGAATGGAATCACAAAGTAGCATGCATATAAAGAATTAGTTTTGACTGGAATGGAATCACAAAGTAGCATACATATAACAAATACATATAATAAAAAAAGTAAGTGAATGTGGTGGTTGGATTCATTGTAATACGCCATTAATATTCTACAGTTATATAAGTTTTTGTCTGCATACACAAAAGTAGTTTCTAGGTAACACAAAAGATTCCTGCATAGACAAAAGAAGGGCCACCATGTGCCCATACACCTACTTGATAGTACCATAGAAAAGCATAATAAAAAGACTACTACTTTGTCTTTACATCACAACTGCCTTACAAAAGATATTCCTACCCACCCACTATTATCCCCTAAATTAATCAATAACTGAAGGGTTATCTGCATTGCTCCCAACCCCAGGTATCTGCCTCCTTAATGCTTGTTTGATAATCCGTTCAGAATATTTCCTCCTTCCACTTCTACTAACTGGGACCCTTCTTCTTGGCATGGGGGCTGCAGGTGGTGGTGGAGGAGGTTGTTGGGCTGCAGGTGGTGGTGGAGGAGGTGGTGGTCCTTCATTGCCCCTGGATAAACTTGGGTCTGCTCCACTGCCCCTGGATGAACTTGGTACTGCAAACAAAAATTAAAATGTCAATTCTTTGTTCAAATGATGTAATTTTTTTAAAAAATATTCACCTGATGTATTGCTTTGTTGGTTAGATGGACACTTTTTCTTGTTGTGACCTGGTTCCTTACAAATACCACACTTTATTATGCTACCCCTTCTTGAGACAGTTTGTCTACTTGATCCACTCAACTCTCGTTCAATTGCATCCCTCTTCCTTTTCACAGATGGCCTACCAGGTAATCTTCTTCTTTTGGGAGGCAAAGGCTTATGGTATGGAACATCTGGCCACATTTCACTACTATTGAGAGGATTAATGCTATATTTGTAGCATTTTAGGTAAGCCTCAGTAGTGTATGATTGGGACACATATGCCTCAGCATCATGATTTAAGTAAGATATTGCTGCCACTCCATGTAAGCATGGTATCCCTGTAAGTTGCCATATTCTACAGGCACACTTCTTTGCAATTAGATCCACTCCATATGCAACATCAGTGAATCTAACCTCATACTTTTGATAACCACAAGGAGTAACTCCCCACAATCTGTTTAAGCATATTAACATCAGTGAATCAATAACACATCCTCATAATTAACATAAGCATATTAAAGTAAAATAATTACCTCTGTTTAACCTTCAGATGTTCTATACGCTTCCTAATAGTTGGACATATAAGCAAATCCCATTCCATTCCTTCAACTCTTTGAGTGTATATCCTTTCCATCACAAATAACCTAATCTCCTCCAGCATAGTGATTATAGGTCTCCTTCTAGCATGCCTAATAGCAGAATTGAAACTCTCACTGACCCCATTCTCCACTGCATCACAGTCTCTTCCTTCTTGAAAGAATGCCTTAGACCAGGTAGTAGGATCTCTGTCTATAAGGTAATCATAAGCATGAGTATCAATAGATTTGATGTTCTCCATTACACCTCTGAACTTCTCCACAGTACTAGCCCTTACAGCCCTCCAAAATAACTTTATGTATTGTTGACCAGTAAACCTTTTATTAAAATTGGCCAGAATGTGTCTAGCACATTGTCTATGTTCAGCTTCTGGACATTTTTCCTTAACTGCTTGTAATAACCCCTACAAATCACAACATCATTATGAGTGAAAAAGCATAAAAATGAAGCATAAAAATGACCTAGTACTAACCTTGTGTCCATCAGAAAGAAGGGTAATGCCTGCACCAAGACCACCATTAATGTCATCCATAAGCAAATCTATGAACCACTTCCATGTTTCTTTATTCTCAACACATACCACAGCCCATGCTAAAGGGTAGATGTGGTTGTTTGCATCTCTCCCAACAGCTGAAATAACTTCTCCTCTAACTATACCCTTTAAAAAGCAACCATCAAGCCCAATTACTGGCCTGCACCCTTCTAACCAACCATCCCTTACAGCTTTGAAACACACATAAAACTTAGAAAACAAAGTTGTGGAATCTGGCATGATGTCTACATCCAATCTCACAGTAGACCCAGGATTTGACCTGATAATTTCCTCACCATATGACCACAATCTCCCATAATGTTCAATTAAACTTCCTTCAATCTCTTGTAATGCAAATTTCTTTGCATTTCTGCATTGCCCCACACTCACATTTATGTTGAATGTTGTTGACACTTTAGCTTTCATCTTCCTTGCACTCATTTTTGGGTTCTCTATAATTTGACTCATAAAATGTTTCCCTATCCATCTATAAGTTACAATTGACCCAAACTTAAACACCCTACAACAATTATGTTCATTCACTAGAGATTTGATCTGAAAAGTCTTTTCTTTACCCATCCAGGAGGCCCATAGTCTGAAAGGGCAAGATGGTGACTTATTCTTTTTGCAACATTTCACTAACAATCTATCAGAGTCATTTTTTTCAAACCATAGATCATACCCATTAGCAACTGCATAATTGCTTAACATATGTTTAAGCTCAGTAGGGTTACAAAATCGCATACCTATAATTGGTTTCATCTGATCCCATGGCTGTCTCTCATCATACACAGGGTACTGGGGTGGCACGTATTCATCATCTTGATCTTCACTCTCTATAGGTTCACAAAGGATGTTTAAAAATCTATCACGTGCAGTTTTGTTTGCTGGAAATGGATAGGTAGCATCATCTTCTTCATGATCAACAGAATATGAATCTTGAATAACTGAATCCTCATCTTCATCTAAGTCTTCGTTTTCACTTTCACTTTCCTCAGCCTCAATCCAGTCGAAGATAGGTTCATTATGGTGATCCACATATACATTCATTCTCTTGTCATTAGCATACGCCAAATCCAAAAATTCCTTGTAATCACCGTTGTTCACCAGTGTATGAATTCCAAGACCTAAAGACTCTTGTGGAAGGCAGAAATAGATGTCTTTGCTTCTCGATTTGGTGAGCTTGTGAAGGAATTCCATGAATTGCTCATACCCAAACCCACTGAAGTCAACATCTCGCACTGATGCTCTGTCGGGATCAAAGTAAACTAAGGGATTGGGTGCAAACTGACCATTGTAGTGGAAATCCACTACAATGAAGTTCTGATCAGTAGGATTTGGAGATGATGCCATAGAACGGTTGAAGGAGATGAATGATCGATGGAGAATTTTGTGACCTAGTCGAGTTTAAGGACCAAATGAGACTTCGGGGTGTGGTTTAATGAGACGGAGACGAAAAATCGGGCCCTACATGCCACCTCTTTCGCCACGTAAGATAAAAAAATACACGTAGGATCAATAAACCGTTTAAAACCGGCTAAACCCGGTCATAAGGGGAAAATTTGCACAAATCAACAAGTTAAAGGGTTAATAGAGCACGAAAAAAAGTTCAGTGACCAAATGTGATCAAAATCAAAAGTATGTTACCCTCTAAGTCATTATCCCTTTACATTAAACTAAAAGTCCTTTTTGCTAATCCAAACACTTTTTAAAAAAAAAAAAATTACAAAAAAATCCTTTAAAAAGATATCATTAATGTATTCCACTATATTTGTAATTTTCCGTTTCAGAAGACCAAAACAGCTTTCAAATTTGAAGCTCCGTTTCAAAAATAGCGATGTTAATTCCAGGAAAAGCATCGGAACCTTCTTCATCCTGATCGTACGCTTTTCCCTCAACAAAATTTTATGGTACTGGTACTTATATATTGGAATTGAAGGCGACCAGAACAATACTGTATACAGATTACGATTGGTAAACTGCCAACTTTTCATCATCTTCTTGGTCAAACCAACCGTTAGTTGTTGCAATTTGAAGGGAGAAATCAATTGATTGATTTTGATCAGAATTTCACAGAATGGGAGGCTGTTTTTCGGACGTGAGCGGAGGAAAAGCAGCAGTCGGAGGAATCCATAACCTACAACATCAAAGCGGTCCGAGTAGTAACCTCGCTGTCGCTTCCTCCTCTGGTACGGCTGAGAATGAAGCTGTCGATTTCTTCTTTCGTTCCAAAGGCCTTCAACCCCTCTTCACTCGAATTGAGGTATATATATGTTCGTAAATTAACTGATCGTGTTTTCTAAGTTCAAATTGCTTCTGGTTCGTTGAATGTAGTTTGGGGCATTGTTTGAAAACCTAACAGCGTAGCCGTTTCAGCCATAAAACATCAAATTCTACAACTTCTTATATAGATAGTGCACCCAAACTTCTACGGTTCGTGAGTGTTAAGTGCTGGAAAACAAGTTTAAGCAACTTTTGCCTTTCATCTGAAAGTAGGTTGCATATGGTCCATGGATTGTGAGTTGCATTCTATGGTTACACTCAGACATGGCTACAAGCATGCCCAAGCATATACTGTACAATGGTTTTATCTGTCTTATTTTCTGTCAGGGAATTCGTATATGGTCACATGCATGTAGTGGTTCTTAGCTAGCATGTTTATTCCATGGGCCATTTGATTACTACCACTCATTGTTAGGCATTATCATCCCATTCCCTTATATCACTTTGTTTTTATTCTTATATTATCTTATGTTCTCTACTATATCCTATTCATTAAGTGGAGTCGATGTAAAAAAAAAACAGTAACCAAGTGTAACAATTGTTCAATCTAGGTTACTCTTAACTTTTTTCTTAAGTTTGACCACTCAACTTCCAATTTTGTCCCAATATTGTATTTATTTTTTTTATTTTTTTATTTTTTTATCTTTTTACTGCAAAACCGGTTATTTTGGGTTGCTATGTTGGGTTGATATTACCAAAGAGTGACTAAGTTTCACAGTTGTTCCACCTAGAATCACTAAAACTCTTTTTAGAGGTTCAACTACTCAACTTCCTATTTTATTCTACTATTTTGAATTCTTTTAAGAGTTCTAACCACTCAAAAAGTCAAACTTGTAGTTGGGTAAACAGCTTTAGAGCTTATACTTTGGTACAATCTTTTTTCATAAAACATATCATTATGTCCTTGGTTTATTATGATTATTACAGGTTTCTTGTAATGTTTGTAGTGATATTGATGTTGTTTGTAGTGATTATTGTGTTGATGTGCTCTAAACCTGTACTTAGTGATTCAAGACTTGGAAGCACACATTTTATTTATTTCTGTTTTGGCTTAGTTCTTCAATTCTTCATTATTTTCTTTTTTTTGTATGTATGAAATTCTGTGCTAGAAGAAGCATAAAAGTATAAAACATCGTTAGAGAAGATTTTCATAACACGTGATTCAGTTAATAGATTATTATGCCAACTTGAAGTTGACTCCAGTATTGCATGCAAGTCAACATGTCTTGGTCAAACCAAGTGGCTTTTAGTGGTTCTAACTATTTTGGTGGTCCTTTTTTGGGATTTAATGCAGACTACAGTAGATGTTTTTTTTTTTTTTTTGTTTGTTTGTTACTCCAAAGCTTGACTAGGTTCCTTTTGTTTTCATATCCAAAAACCTACTGTATATAAGCCCATTTTTTTAAAATCAATCACTTATTCTCTTAAATTTGGCATGTCACACTCTCCTGATCGAAATAATAAATCAATGTTTTTGCAGTTGTCTTTATCAGCTTCAAAATTACGTGATCGTGACCTCATGTCAAAGGTACTATAACTAAGTCTTAAAATTAATAATATTTAAAAAATTTATGTATTGTTTTGATGCTAATCCTCTTCTCTGTAGAGTGACCCTATGGCAGTATTATATGCCCAGAAAAGAAATGGAACTCTGGAGGAACTTGGAAGAACAGAAGTGATCATGAACAGCTTAGATCCCATGTGGATTCAAAAAATAAATGTTTTATTTCACTTTGAGATTGTTCAACCATTGATGTAAGCATTCTATTTAGTTTGTTTACTTGTTTTTATAATCTGTTGCACCCTATTCAAGATTTTGTAAGTATATTCTGTTTCTTTTTGCAGCTTTCAGGTGTATGATGTGGATTCAAAGTATCATAATCTGTCAACAAAGGTTTGCATATAACTTCTCTTTTCACCCATACAACTTCTCTTATAACAGCATTTTACTTTCATTTATTCCCATTACATCATTATACTTTGAATAATCTACATAATCATAGCAATGTCATTCAAATGTAAAGCAAATTTCACAGCTATATCTAATAAGAAAAAATAAATAAATAAATAACTGAAAGTACAATGCTATAATACACAAATAAATATAAGTACATTGCTATTTCTTGCATTTAGTCCTATCACTTATCATCCTTGAATTTTGTGTTTGTTACACAGGTATTGAATCTAAATGAGCAAGATTTTCTTGGAGAAGCCACCTGTGTTTTATCACAGGTAAGATTATTTGCAGTTTTATAACAGAGCAAAAAGAAAAAAACAAATACTATTAATAAAGCAGAAAGTAGATACTAACAATAAAGCCTGATTAAACCTAATTCATGCCCCTTTAATCATTTACAGATCATGACTGTTAGAAGCCGAAGTATGACCTTAAAACTACATGGTAAAGAAGGGCAAATTGGGGATTTTGGTTCAATAACTGTTCATGCAGAGGAAACCATTGATTCAAAAATTGTTACTGAGATGAGACTCCGATGTTCAAACTTGGATAACAAGGACTTGTTCTCCAAAAGTGTAATCACTCTTTAACAATTCTTAAATAATCATTGTCAATTTCTTTTGTTTTTTTAATTGGGATTTATTTTTAAATCTCTTATTTTACCACTTTCAGGATCCATTCTTAAGAATCTCTAGAGTTGTTGAGTCTGGAAACCCTGTTCCCATTTGCAAAACAGAAGTTGTGAACAATAATTTGGATCCAGTGTGGAAGCCCTTATGTATAACTTTGCAGCAATATGCTAGCAAGGTGAACCTCTTTACTCCTTCTCACTACACTTTTTTTTTGTGTTTTATTAAATATAAGAAATAGCAGTGTACTTTTATTGATTTGTTTATTATAAAATATTACTTACATTTCTTCCAATTACAACATTTTACTATGTCTTGATAAGAAAAAATGGAAAGTTAAATGATATATCTGTGTAATTATTTCCAACTGTTTTTTTTTTTTAAATTTACAGGCGAACCCTTTAGTTATAGAGTGTTTTGACTTCAATAGCAGTGGCAACCATACACTAATTGGGTAATTATTTAGTTATTTAAACACAAAATAGAAGCTGTTTTATTAACTAAATGACTTATTGACACATACAGAACATAAATGTCATATCTTTTATTGTTGACAGGAAACTTCAGACATCAATTGAGGGGTTGGAACTGCTTTACAAAGAAAAAATAGGGGTAAATTTGGCAATTCCATCTTCTCGTCACCAAGAACGTGAAAAGGTATGTTGTATTCATCTATCATTCTATTTTCCACTACAGTTATCATTTTCTGCAATTTTTATAAGATTATGAGAAAAAGATGGTAATATATATTTTTTTCCATTAATGATGCATTATAACTAAAAAATTGCATTTACATGCTGTAGATTCTCAAGGGCAAACTTTTTGTGGATGGATTTATCGAGAAGCAAATTTATAGTTTTCTTGATTATATTTCTAGCGGATTTGAGCTTAACTTCATGGTTGCTATTGATTTTACTGGTAAGTCTGCTTAAATTAATTTTTTTAAAATTTTTCTTTCAGAAATTAAATGTAATATTTTACTTGATAACAATTTCCAACTCTTGACAGCTTCAAACGGAGATCCTCGAAGGCCGGATTCATTGCATTACATTGATCCTTCTGGTCGCTTAAATGCATATCAGCAAGTGAGTAAATGACCATTTTACCCTTACGTGAATGTCCATGTGGTTGGTAATATTAATATATAAAAATATATAATTATGTTTTGTGATTGATTACAGGCTATTATGGATGTTGGGGAAGTGATACAAGTTTATGATTCAGATAAAAAGTTTCCTGCTTGGGGTTTTGGTGGAAGAATGTATAATGGCCCTGTTTCTCATTGTTTCAACCTCAGTGGAAACACCGAGGTCTGTAACTCCTGTTTCTCAATCTCCTGTATGTGCAAAAAGACGTAATTGCCCTCAAAATGCATCCGTGTTTTATAGGTTGAAGGAGTACAAGGAATAATGGCTGCTTATCAAAATGCATTGCATACAGTGTCTCTTCATGGGCCCACTTTATTTGGTCATGTAGTAAATCAGGCTGCACAAATTGCTGCTCACTCCCTCTCACAAAGTTCCAGCAAGTACTTTGTGTTGCTAATTATAACGGTAAAACAATTTTTATATAATATAATATTTTCTATTTCATATTTATTTTCTTATGATATAATATAAAAAATTTTATGCTTTTTTTTTTTTTTTTAAGGATGGAGCTCTTACTGATTTGCAAGAAACTAAAGATGCACTTGTCAGGGCCTCTGATCTACCCCTCTCGATTTTAATTGTTGGAGTGGGTAATGCTGATTTTGGAGCAATGGAGGTAAATACTAAATACACCGGCATCTGTCAGGATCCTGTCCTTTAGGGCCCACAGAATAGAACAGAACAGGTTATACTGTGTTTGACATGAATTGGACTGATGTCAATGAGACAAAAAAAATAGCAACCTTTTATCCCGTCCAAAAAGGTGGGATAGGGACTCGCTTTCATTTCTCTCGCTTGTGCAAAAGACGAGAATGCCCTTGTCATCATCGAAAATAGCCCTAGAAACCTTGTACAGTCCTGTCCATTGCGGTCCAATCTCGTCTGTGACAAGATTGGACTAGACAGGATTTGACAAGCTTTCTAGGGCTATTTCCGATGATGGCGAGGGCATTCTCGTCTTTTGCACAGACGAGAGAAACGAAAGCGAGTCCCTATCCCACCTTTTTGGACGGGACAAAAGGTTGCTATTTTTTTTGTCTCAATGACATCAGTCCAATGCATGTCAAACACAGTACAACATCTTTATCAGTAATTTTGTGTTTTGAAACCCTAACAATTTGATCCAACAGATTCTGGATGCTGATAATGGACAACGATTGGAGAGCTCGACAGGAAGAATTGCTACTCGTGATATTGTTCAGTTTGTTCCCATACGAGATGTACATCGTAAGTAATAAATAAACAATTTTATATTTTTCATTTTTTTTTGTTTCCCATTAAGTGTTGTCTGAATAAATTGTGTTTGTAAATATTTGAAAAAATGACAAGCGACTTAAGTTTGACCTAATTAAATTCATGGGAATATTACTGTGTAGGTGGAGATATATCGATGGTGCAGGGTCTATTGGAAGAGCTACCAGGGCAATTCTTGACATACATGAGGAGTAAAGGTGTGAAGCCACTCAACTTTGATGGAAACCAAGTTCCCATTCCACCAGATCTGTTATTCACGTGAAATCAAACCTCTTTCGTACAGTAAACCCTAAGTAAATGAAAGTATTGGTTAAATATGCATATTTTTAGGTGCAAAACATTGAAAATTGTTTTGCAATTGGTTAGATATGTTTATTTAAAAAGGTTATTCTTTGAGTTGACCCGTCATATGAGATGGAAATCTGGTATATAGCTACCCATTAGGTGGCTAACAAAAGCCAAGTGCTTATTGAAATTGGAACACACTCCAAGATTTATTGAATCTTTAGCGGAAGTTGATTTGATGTTTGATCAGACAAAGGGCCAAAAGGAGCACAATCCATATTCAAACTAAAACCAGACATAATGATCGTAGATTTATTTCAATGTTTAGTAGGTCTTTGGTGTTGGATTTGGAATTCAAACATTCAGTTGGATTCCATGAGGTTCCTCTAATGGAGTTCTAAACTCTCCAAAAAGGAGGATTGTACAAACCCCAAAATATGTGATATGGAAATTATTATCGAGAAAAACAAGAGAAAAAGAATAGGAATCTCAACCTAATCTAACATTTATATGGTAAACATGGTGGTTCGACAAAGAAAAGTAAAAAGGGAATGAAAAAGAAAGGAGTAATTTGTGAAAGTGGCTTCATTTCTTAGACCTTTTCCGGAAATGGTTAGGCTAACAATATTACAAAAGAAAGGCATGGCCGCATGGCCAAAACATTGGAGAAATATTTACAAAATTATTCCCCATTTAAAAAAAAATCTTATATACCTTTATTAAATATCAAAATATCATATTGATCAAACTAAATTTTTAAATATCATATTTACCCTTTATAAAAATTTTAATTATCATAAATGCCATTTTTAAACATCAAAACATAATATATCTATTTCTTAAATATCAAAATATCAACGGTAATATCTAAAATATTCTATATTTACAACATGATAGTGTTAACAACAACAAAAACTAAGGAATCAATATACACATTTCATGGAGAGGACTGAAGATGAAACATTTTGTTTGTCAAAGTACGATATTTCAGCAATTTAAAAATAGACGTTCCATTATTATAGACGTAGCGATAATATGGTTAAAATTTTTAATTATTATAATAATTAAATGATTATAAACTATTAAAAATATTGTGAAATATGAGTTGGGCAGATATGACATTCTGAATGTTTATAAAGGATAAATATATTATTAAGAAATAAAGTTGGACAAATATATAAAATTCTCTCATTAGTTAAATACTAGCGCTAACCATAAAAAATAATAGTAGTGTTTTTGAAATTATCAACATGTAATTCCATTTTCGAATGTGCTATATTGACTCATATTTTCATAGTAGGGTTTCCAAATATTCTTTCTTAAGTGGTCCCCTCTAGGGATGGAAATGGGATGGGTTTGGAGCGGGGCTGACCATCCATATCCGCATCCTCGAATGTGTAATCGCGTCCCCATCTTCATCCCCATCCCCGACGGATGCGGGGAATCAAATCCTCTCCCCTTTGCCTTTTTGGGCTTTTCCCCGACTCATCCCCAATCTATCAACATAATAAACTCTAACTTACACAAAAAAAACCAAGTTTAATAAGTGATCAAAACGACGTGTCATAATCAAATTCTGTTAACATCAATCATAAAGTTTAACAAGCATTAAAACGAAAAGTGATGATTTGGTATACAAATCAACAAACGAAGTGACGAACTCCTGGAATTGGGAACATATTTGATATACAAACTCTATCTCTGATGGTATAATATAGATCAATTCATTTTAGTGGACTTAATTCAAATTCAACAAATGATATATATATATATATATATATATATATATATATATATATATATATATATATATATATAGGGTTAGGTTCATGTGAGACGACCTAATTTTGTGAGACCGTGAGACGTATTTTCTTATTTTCTTATTTTTTTATTTTTTTTAGTTAATTCAAGTTCCGAAAATAATACTTAAAAAAAGAATTTTTGGATTTTTCCATTTATTTTGCCTTTTAAAATTGTTTTTTAGAATATGTACAATGTAATATTCTATTAAAATATTTCATGTATTTTTTCAAAAAAAAAAAAAAAAAAAAAACGGGATTTTTTAATTTTTTTGAGTTAATTCAAGTTCCGAAAATAATATTTAAAAAAAGAATTTTTAGATTTTTCCATTTATTTTGCATTTTAAAATTATTCTTTAGAATATGTACAGTGTAATATTCTATTAGAATATTTCATGTACTTTTTTTTTTAAAAAAAAACAGGATTTTTTTTTTTTAAAAAATTAAATTTTTTTTTGGTTAATTCAAGTTCCGAAAATAATATTTAAAAAAAGAATTTTTGGATTTTTCCATTTATTTTACATTTTAAATTTATTTTTAGATTTGGTCTCACGGTCTCACAAAATTAGAATGGTCTCAAATGAACTTAATAATATATATATATATATATATATATATATATATATATATATATATATATATATATATATATATATATATATATATATATATATATATATATATATATATATATATAGTCATAAAAACAGAGGCGGGGCGGGTTGGGGATTGTTATACCCGTCCCCGACCCTATCCCTTGTTTTAACATAATGGGGATCCTCAGTCCCGTACCCAGTACCCGTTTTGGCGGGAAATACATGTCCCCCGATTGGGGCGGGTCAACCGGGTTCCCCATCGAGTCGGGTGAAATTTTCATCCCTAGTCCCCTCTTAAATACAGTGATTTCTTTTTCATCATCAACATCAAAAATATTGGACTTTCTAAACTTACCTTTTATCAATTTAGTGAGGTGAAAAAGGCAAATCATCTTCCAATGCCTTACCTTACTATTATGGTAGTATTTGACATCCTATATAGAGGTTTTCCTTGTTATCTGCATGTTGAAAAGTAATCAATTTTCTTTATTGCTTTGACTGTTACACATCCTTTATCATCTAATCCTAGATGTCTACATGATCATATAAATAGGGAATTAGAATTATGAATTCTCTGACAAGGGCCCAAAAATCATCTTTAAGGTTGTAACATGATTTAGGTCTAACAAGGTGTAACACATTCTTTTCATGAAATTATTATTAAAGGGTTTGAAAAATAATAATAAATAATAAATAACAATAATAATAATTAAAATAAGTTTTAATACATCTATTTAATATTCATAAATAGGATATATTAGTTCAGGGACCAAATGATAAATTTAAGAAATTAGAATTGTAAGTCATAGAGGTTTGGGGGTGTATTGGTCACATGCAAGTTTCTGAGGGACTAAGGTCTCGTTTGATAGACATTTTTCCAGGTTCAAATCGATAATTCTAGCTAAATGGACTAGAAAGATTGTTTGATTTGCACAAAAAAGATCTTTCCCGGTAAAATATGTCTATCCTAAGAAGCCACAAAACCATATCTTTTTGCTGAATGAAGCGGAAAGACAATTGTGCCACAAACCTCGCTTCTTTCTTTCTTGGATTATTAATTTTTTAAAATATTTTTTAATTTATTTTTTATTGGATTATTATATATTAATAAATATTATTTATAATATATAGTATTATTTTATTGGATTATTAAATTCTTCTGGTTAAATTTTTAATTTATGTTTAATGGATTTTTTTTTGGACAACACTGCCGCCAATTTATTTTAAAAAATCGCATCCATCCCATTACTATCGTACATACATCGGGTCAAGAATCACATGTTGGGTTATAAAAAAACTAAAATGGCTAAAAAGAATAACAACGTAACATCAACTTGAAAAACAACAAACTACAAAACAACTTGATCGACATTCTATTTAAGTTTTAATTGATTTGTGTTTAATTACTTTTTATGATAATTTGTATTTGGATTTCTAAATTAATGATTATTATTTAATTTTGATTTTGTATGACAAATTGTATGTTTTTATAATTATTCAACAACTTCATCCATTACAAAACAGCAGGGTAATATGGTTATTTTCATCATTCAGTACAGTAAGTCAGATGTACAATCAAACAACATGGTTTCTTTTCCACTCAGAAAACTTTCTCAGATAGCACTTTCTTGGACAACACTTTCCCATACAGTAACTACCAAACGGGGCCTAAGGTTGCCTAAGTCGAAACCTCTTTGTCTCCTTTAGTGATATGTTGACGCAACTTTATGCGTGAATTGCAAGTCCCAATTTTCCTTCCTTGGCCTTACACAAATTGATTTTTAGAAAGCAATATAATCCTTGATCTCAACACACTAAAACTGGATCTTAAGAAGCAACCTCCTTCATCTTTCTTTTCTTAGAGAGAGAAAGAGAGAGAGAGAAAGAGAGAGAGAGAGAGAGGGGGGGCGAGAGTTAGGATCATCGGTTAGGGTTCCAAGCAAGGAAGCAATTGTGCAACTCGATCCAAGCCATCCCTAAGGTATGATTCATTCCTAGTTTGTCCCTAATGTTGTCACATCTCCGAACCAGGACGACAGAAACGTCTGCGCGCACCGGGGGGGAGGGGTGACTTCATGTACAGTATCATAACAATTGAATATGAATGAAACATAGCAACCAAACATTATACATTGGAGATACACACTTACATAGTTTACATATTGGACTTATTCATGAGTTACACAAAATAAGAAAAGTAAAATTTCTTGATGTCGCACCACTTGGTCTCATAGTCGAGCTTATTACCTGCTACTGGATTCCTGAGAATACAAGTCGTTTTGAAAAGCATCAACAAAAAAGTTGGTGAGTTCATAAGAATTTTTGTATAAAATGGTTTTGTACTTGTTTAGAGTAGTTCTTATAGTGCTTTTAGAAAAATACGATATTTTCTATAAAATAATTTGTAAGTCACATTCTAAAACTGTGAATATATGCATGCATGTCCTTTCTTATCTTTTTTTATAAAAGTAAAGCGAACGTTCCCAGAAAATCCGATATTTTCTAAATAGAAATGGTTTGAAATGTTTGTGTCTGTTCTTGTATTAATGCATGTGTTAATGTTTGGTAAAATAGAAAGAGGATGATTCCAAACAACCCGATGTTGTCTGCGTAAAAGAAAGCTGGAATCTCAACCACTGAAGTTGGGTACCAGTGCGTATAGGTTACCATTTTATCCCAAAAAGAAAAGAGAATGGTTTCCCTATAAATTTTACAACATTAATTCCTCTAAGTGAGTCGTTATAACCATACATGATAGTGACTAATTTGCCTGTCTTGGCATTTTCCTAATGCCGGTTTTGATTTTAAGGTTTGTCACCCTAGATTGGTCTAGTCTAACTGTAGCGAACAGCTCAGGTGTGAGGGAGTCACTCCCGTATAGATCTATACACAAACTCTCGCTCTCCCTCCAGGAGACTCTGATTATAACTATAGGCTACGAACATACACTAAGTGGTGTCAACCGATAGGTCTCACTAGATCCTTAATCGAAATTTACACGGAAGAAGAAAGAAGAACATATAACATGTATTCCAGGCCCAATAAACATATACGTGAACAACTAAGGTCCACTA